AGTCTTGGTAAAGTCGTCTGGAAAGTCTTCCAGGTGGACGACCCAGACGACTTAATATAAGTCGTCTGGGAAGTCTTCCAGGTGGACGACCCAGACGACTTAATATAAGTCGTCTGGGAAGTCTTCCAGGTGGACGACCCAGACGACTTAATATAAGTCTTCCAGACTTAGAATTAAAATGTTCCAATTTCGTTTCTTGATTGCAGATGGCGAATCAGCATGAACCTCACTTCTTGAAGCCTCTGCTTCCTGGTTTCTGCAGTGGCGTGGTATACACACGCTCTCGATTTCTCCTCTGCTTATTTCCTTTGCTTAACTTCTCCTATGTTGACTTGTAGACAATACCACTTGCCTTCTACTCAAAACACATAGAATGGAACCAAGGAAAATGGACACTACGATCGGACGCTTCACACCAAACTTGGGAAGTTATACAAGAAGGAAGAAGACTCACCGATGGTTGGGAAGCCTTCGCCCAAGCACACTCCCTTTGCATCGGTGACATTCTCGTGTTCAAAAAGGAAGGAGACATGGTATTTCATGTGACTCCTTTCGGTCCTATTTTTACTGAGATTCAGTATACACCTCCTCAAGGGGATGATGCTGCGGATGGTGCCTCAACTTCCTCGTCTCTTCCTAAATGATGGATGTTTGTCTTGCTATCGTCTTATTGTAATCTGCTTCTAGTGGACTTCTATGTTGTTGTTCCGTTGTTTCAATTTGTTTTTAAACCTATGAATTGTAATGGATGATCAACTTTTATAACTACAACTCCTTTTGTCCTCTATGTACAAACCAATTTTAATTATTAGTCGTCTAAGAAGTCTAACACAAATTCTTAAAACATACTCGAAAATATTTAGTAGACGACTAATAGATTTGTCAGACGACTGATAGATTTGTCAGACGACTTAGTAGACGACTGATATTTAAGTCGTCTGGAAAGTCATCAGCCGGAAGATTTATCAGACGACTTAATTATTAGTCGTCTAACCTCGTTAGTATTCTATTCAGACGACTTTCAACTAAGTCGTCCAGACTCCTTAGTTGAAAGTCGTCTGGTATAGTTATTCTTAAATGTGTTTATTTCTATATATAGTGGTTAGTTAATTTAGTCAACTTAGTTTAGGTTTTAGGGTTTAGGGTCTGGACGACTTATAATTAAGTCGTCTGGTAAATATATTTAATAAGGCAGACGANCGACTTTCAACTAAGTCGTCCAGACTCCTTAGTTGAAAGTCGTCTGGTATAGTTATTCTTAAATGTGTTTATTTCTATATATAGTGGTTAGTTAATTTAGTCAACTTAGTTTAGGTTTTAGGGTTTAGGGTCTGGACGACTTATAATTAAGTCGTCTGGTAAATATATTTAATAAGGCAGACGACTTAGTCGTCTTATAATATCAACAGACGACTTAATTATAAGTCGTCCAAACCCGATTTTACCGAATTACTTTTAAACCGAACCGGATTTTTTACCGGACATATATAAGAAGTTTTTTTTTTTACTCACTTTTCGCGAAATTCAGAAAACCGTAACTCTGTTTCTCTCAAAGGTGATTTCAAGGCGATTTCGATCCGATACAAGACCAAGGTAAATCGAAGGCTTCTCTTGCGGATTTATGGGTTTTTATTAAGATGGATGTTCTTTTCCTTTACTTTTACCGTTTTGTTTTGTGATTTCAACGATTTCTGGAAATTTTGGTTTCAAA